TGGAGATACTTTGTGGATTCAATTTGTGTTCTTGGACGTTAGTCTGGGGCGCCGTCTGCCATTAGGTGTGCTGGCCGCTCCCCCCGCCGATCTCCGCAAGGGATGTGAGGACTCTAAAACTTCACCAGAGCCTCCATCGGCATATAGGTGAGTAGATAATGGCTGAATTTTCATTTTTGGGTGCACTATCCCTTTAATCCCTATAAAGGCCTACCTCATCATCCAAGGGGATCTCCTCTTCCTCTGCTTCCTCCTCTGGGACAACCTCGTCCACATTTTCTTCTGGTTGGCTGGTCGGAGCGTCCTCTGCATCTGGATCTTCTGCTGCTGCTTCCTCAGTCTCAGGGTCAGGAGCAGAGTTGAGTTCAAGTGTGGCTGCTGGCTGAAGATTTGCTGAAGCAATCATGTCGAACGCAGCCTCGGGAGTGTCAGCAGGTAGCACAGGTGCTGCTGCAGAAATCATGTCAAACGCTGCCTCGGGATTGTCAACAGGTGGTAAGGTGGCTGCTGCAGAAATCATGTCGAACGCTGCCTCGGGATTGTCAACAGGTGGTAAGGTGGCTGCTGCAGAAATCATGTCGAACGCTGCCTCTGGAGTGTCGGCAGGTGGCACACTGGCTGCAGCAGCGATCATGTCGAATGCTGCTTCTGGAGTGTCAGCGACAGGCGGCACGAAGCTGAGGTCTGGTAAAGGCTGCAGGGTGACTGGAGCGGGCACCTCCACCTGAACAATGAGGGAAGATATGGAGTCAAAGTCAGGGACTGTTATTTAATTTGCAAGTGCAAATTAAAGGAGAACAAGAAGCTGAAACTGTGTGTGAGGAGGTGCATGTGGTGACTAACTCAATTAGTTGGAGGGAGTTCAAACAACAAATTAATTCCTGACACCTCAAACAAGCACTGGAGAAATTTTGGACCGCAAATGGACACGCGTACTCCTATTTTCTGGTCTTGTCAGCAGTTTAATACATTTTGGCAGGATGTGTTTGATATGTAATGCTGAATCAGATCATCAGATCAGACTTTGTAGACAATACATTTACACCACGGAGAGGGAGACGTGCACAGACCCCGTCCACGTCTACACAAATGTGCAGCAGATTTAACAGAAACAGAATAAACTGTTTTAAACTGAAATCAAAAGTCTGTGCAAATCTTCCTCTGTGGTTTCAATAAAGGGAAGTGGTATTTTTAGCACTGAGACTAAGCTCCGTCTTTAAAAATACTTGCAACACTTTCTCATTGCCAAATGTACGCCAGAGACTGGAGCAAAGAACTGTGGCACTAATTACTGCCAACAGTGTTCGGTCAGCTCTGTTGTAGTGTCGGTGAAAGAATGTGAATGGCACAGTGAGCAGGAACAAACTGAGTGTAGTGTAGTGTTGTAATGCAGCAATTAACTCAGTAGAAACACTCTTACTTTCCTGCTGTAGATTCAAAATGGTCAGAGCTTTATATCGAAATTTTTCTGTTGTGTCCTTTGCAAATTATCAGTGGCATTTTTATATTTCTTTCCTTGTTTTTAAAGTTTAATTTTCATTGGAAAAAAACAAATAACACCACAAGACAAGGACTGTATGTTGAGTAAATGAGCAGCAATTTAGAAACCTACATGATGTAATTTTTTTGGTCAATTAGGAGGCGATCTTATGAGTTTAAATACTTGGAAATACATTGCTAAAAGTTAAAAGAGTCAGTGTTCTGTGAAATGTGCTTATTTATTTTCTTGTTGACAGTTGTCTACCTCTACTCGTGGGACGGCAACCTCGCTCAACTGTTGCGGCTCACACATGTGTGGCGTTCACACACATAAGCCCTTTTTAAATAGGAATTGTGCAAATTTGCAGGAAAGCCCAATCAGTGTTTTTTCAGCATTGGCAGTATAAAAACAAAATCGGGGAGTGCAGCAAAATGCCTCCTACCTACTTTTGTTTATACAGAATGTGTCTTTTTCAGGGCAATGGGGGGCGTGAGCAAGTAACAAAACGTGTAGCTCAGCGTGTGACGTAAACAGTGACATGGGAGGGAAGCCGCGGCTGGTCAGTCCTTCGGTGATTCTCTTATAAGTCGCCCCGTCCTTCACCGTCCCCGTTATCTGACGGTTAATGGCCTCTTCGTTTGCGAGGACAAGGAGGGCGCACAATTCCTTGTCTCCCCAGTTGCTCATCTTTACAGTGTCTGTCAGGTTTGTGTTTCCCTCTTGCTACTAGCTGCTCGCTAATTCTTGCTATCAGCTGTTTCCTGTTTATCCGCCAGTGGGTCGTATGTGCGGCGTCATCAACAGCTCCTCCCACAAGTCATCAACAGCCCCTCCTGTGGCGGAAGGCCGCCTCGGTCTGTTTAAACTAAAAGGGTTCCACCAATATGTCTACCCTACGAGGAGGAAAACTGGGCACCTCGGATCAATTCGCCAATCCGCCTCTGTGTGTCTAAATGCTCGCAGCTTGCCGGCAAAATGGCCCAACATTCACAGAAAATCTGGCAGTGTAAAAGGAGCTACAGACAGTGTTGTTGTTGCAACACTGCTGCAGCCAGCTGCTGTATTTCTAGTTCTTGTAATCTTTGGAAGGAGCCAAGCTAGCTTTTTCCACCTGTTTCCGGTCTTTAAGCTAAGCTAACAGTCTCCTTACTCTAGATTCATTTTTAACGGACAGAGTGGTATCAACGTTCTCATCTAACTCTCTGCAAGATTGCAAATGAGTGTATTTCCCAAAATGTTGAACTGTTCCTTTAAATGTGAGTAGTGGCTCTAAACAAACGTACCTGCGGAGGTTCAGCAGGCTTCTCCTCTAGTGCTGCTGAGATCTGACAACAAAAATGACACATTTATCACAGGATGTACTGAAAGACACTTGTATTGAACAGAAAATATATTTATAGTTTGATACAGTAGCCTCGAAAATCCATCTCACCTTCAAGGCCAGCTCCTCTTTGTTGTACCCCAGCAGTTCCAGGTACTTGCTGCGGATGTCAGTCTCAAAATTAGCCTGAAAACACAAACAGTCACACAAACAGTTTAAATGATGACAGCATTATTTTCCAAGAGAAAAACAGATTTGTTTCTGGATTTAATACCTTGAGGAAAGACCACAGAGTCTTTTCAAATTCATTCTCAGCTCCATCGATCTTTTCCTGGCAGAAATCCACGAAGCTGCCTGCGCTCAGCGTGGCCTGCAGCTGATCGGAGCGCTTCAGAAAGGCCGTTTCTGTGACAACCTGGCTGATATGTACAACGGGTGCAGTGGGCTGCTGAGGCTGCTGCGGGTTCAGCTTTGTGTTCTCCAAAGATAACAGCTTCCCACCGAACTAGGAGTGAACAGGAGCCAGAAGAATGTGAGTGTTGGTGAAAACAACCAAGCTCCATCCTGGATATCATGGAAAGCAAAGAAACAGGACTCACAGCAAACGAGGCTCCGACAGGCCTGCGGATCCACTTGGGGGGCTTCTTCAGGGGGTTGACTGTAGCTGGTGGGGCGGGAGTCTGCGGCAGCTGCAGTGGGGGTAAAGTTTGTCCCGTCCCAAAAGGATCCAAGTTCCCAAACGAGTTGCTAATCTGTGACACACACCCAGAGTCCAGTTAGACACAAAGGCACGATGCTTAAGATCCCAGAAATCATGATGTATTGCTGTATGTATGTATTGATATAACGTGGACAAGTGCAAACCCTATTTTAGGCACCCCAAAAAAATCAATATCAGTTGAAGTGTACGCTATATTTAGCATATTTTCATTGCTTTACCTTGCTATCTGGCTGTGATTCCTGACAGAGAACTGGAGCCGTTATATCGCTCTCCTCAAAGCCAGACTCCATTGAGAAAAACAGTGATTTAACACTGCTGAACACAGGAGCTGCTGGTCTACTGCTGCTTCCATCAGTTGGTTTATTCGTGTTATTGTGTGACTTTGGTGTTGTAAAGGGTTACTTCAGAATCACCAAAGTCACACAACTTCACAAACAAACTAACTAATCGAGGCAGCCGTAAACCAGCAGCTCCTGTGTTCAGGGAGGTAAAATTACGGCTTTTCTCAATGGAGTCTGGTGACTTTGACCAGAGCACAGATGATGGCTGTCTGATATTAAGGTGAAGCAGTGGAAATACTCTACATGTAGTGTACACTTGAACTGATGTTGATTTTTTTTAGGTGGCTAAAATGTGTTTTGCTCGTCCACAACAGTAGATTAGTAGCTTCTGTGGTGGTACGCCTGCATGCTTCTCCAAACTGGGGATGTGCCGACAGACATCTACTGTAGGTAACACACTGACTATGGATAAGTATAAAATCTTGTTGCTGATCAGTTCAAACCGCCGGCTGAACATTTCTCAAAGTTGGAAACACACATCCACATTTTTGAGTTCATACGACCTGACAACAACACATCCACCACAGATTAGACACACGATCTCTGTTGCTAAGTTACGCTTGCTGTTAACTACCTTACTGTGTGTTGCAGCAGCAGTTTGAAGATGCTGAACTTAGTGCAGTGACCTAGGTTGAGTTATTAACATTATTTGCCTTCTTTTTTCAAGATTATTTTTTCTGGCTTTGTGCCTCTGTTGGATAGGATGCTCTGGGCGTAGGGGGGTGGGGGCATTGCCTTCATATATGGGATGGCTGCTCTACCCACTTATCCACCAAGCACCCAATTATTTGCATTCTTATGAAAAATAAAGTCACAAAACCAGCTCATTTTTGCTTTGTTGGTCTGGAATCTGATTTATCAACTGATAAAATAAAATAAAATGAAATGAAACAATATAATATAATATATCAGAAATACTTTATTGATCCCCAAAGTGGAAATTGTGATTTGTTGCAGTCACTCTGATGTGAAGCACAGAGCATTATGAGAAGTAAGAATAAGAGTATGAAATAGAAGTGTAAAAATATAAAGCTATAAAATGAAATAGAAATTAAAATGTCCATTAAAAACAATGCTGCAGTGTTTAACACTAGCACTTAAAAAAATATAAAAAATATAAAAAGTCATAGACAGTTTCATAATCATAAAATCAAATATATTAAATATTAAAAATAAAATATATATCATCACTGTGCTGACGCTGTAAGTGTGAAAATTAGAACAAGTATAAAGAAAGCCTAAGTTGGCAAAAAAATTTAAAAAATTTTTTTTAAAAAAAAGAAACTATTAGGAGCAACTGCAACAGGCTGCATGCACGGTCGGCACGTGCACTAATAAATATTAAATTAATAATTAAATTCTAAAATAGCTTGTTACGCAATGATAAGATCATGTCACGGAAATCTGGACTGTTTTTAACGATGAAACAAACATACTAAATGAGTTTCAAGTTTTTACACTGGGTGTTCAGGAAGAACAAAAATTTGATTTTGTTCGGACATTCTAGAATTATTGACATGTTCAAGTGCTCAGTGTAAATGAGTACACCCCCTTTGAAAAGTAACATTTTAAACAATATCTCAATGAACACAAAAACAATGTCCAAAATGTTGACAAGACCA